TCGAACAAGCTTGTTGTGCTCTTTCCAACGAGCTCTTAACTAAGTCAAACCGTTAAGAATTGAGAAAGTTATGACGGTTTTACTCTTCCGCCAAAGGCGTTTGCCTATGCACAGGCGTCCTACATGCAACCCGCCTATACACAGCGACTTGGGCCGAAGGCCCCTCTATATGTTAACGCCGAAGGCCTCTCGTCTAACCATGACAGCCGCTTTCGACGTTCATAACTCAGTGAGGACTGATCCGTTTCCAGATATCTTGGTCTCGTTGGAACCAGCGCGTTGAGTTCTTTCCAACGAGACCTGAATCAAGTCAAACCGCTAAGAATTGAAAAAGATATGCTGGTTTTACTATTTCGCCGAAGGCCTTTCCCCCGAATGCAAACATCTAGGGCCGAAAGTGGATTTCCCGCCGGAGGCGAACTCTTTCCGCCAAAGGCGAACGTCTATGTATCTTCCTATAGTCATTACTCCCTAAGTTCTCATTTGTTCCAAGCGTTCTTGGGCTCGTTAGAACGAGCGTGTCGAGCCCTTTCCAACGAAGCCCTAATCAACGCAAACCGTTAAGAATTGAAAACGTTATCACGGTTTTACCCTTCCGCCGAAGGCGTGTGCCTATGCACAGGCCGCCTACGCGCAACCCGCCGAAGGCCCTCCATATCAGAAACTTCCGCCGCTCCTAACTCGGTGATGCCTTATCCGTTTCAAGAGTTCTTAGTCTTGTTGAAACGAGCGTCGCGAGCTCTTTCCAACAAAACCCGAATTGAGTCAAGGCGTCACACATTGAAAACGTTATGAGAGTTTCACTTCTTCGCCAAAGGCCTTTTCCCGAAGGGACTTCACCGAAGACCTTGCCCCGAAGGCATCCTTCCGCACCTCTTGCCCCCTAACCATCACACCAACTCCTAATCTTGCAGAAACTTTCAGAAAACCCCAAGCATAATTTTGCAAGAGCTTAAATCCAAAATTTTAACTCTCATAAGGGTAAAATGATATGCGAGCACAGTTTTGTGCTCACAGCTCATGTTCACAACTCTCTATATAATCACCGCTTCAGCGACTGTCAAAGTCAAGTGTTCGAGTGTTCCAAGTTGAAGTGGAATTAGTCGAAAAAAATCAAGGTGAGTTAAATGGCGCTCTCAGAGTTTATCATCATGGTAAAATCATTAACAAAGAAAAAACTCTCAGCTCTGCAAAATAAACCTGTCAATTGCTTAGAGATAGCAAACTTTTGAAAACACTATTAGAAATTTTGAAAAACTTTTAAAATTCCAAAAACATTGTAACACTTCTCTCACAAACCGGGGCCAGAGAAAAACTAACACAACAGTCAGAGACATATACCAAAAATAGTGAAAGAAGACTTTTAGCTCAAGAAAACGATATCCTCTTCTCAAACTTGTCGTTGTCATATAAAACCGTCTGAAAAAAAAACTCCTGACTGCGGTCTCAGAAAAATTTTGAAATTTCACCTGAAAAATATCATCGTCAAAAATTTCTGTCTCAACCAAATCATTTTAGTTCTTTCCTCAACGAAGAAAAAAAAGCCAATGTCATAACTCACACCTCTGTCACAAGCTTAAAATCAAAATCATCTCAAACCAAAAAACTACTTTGAAACAGACTCCGAATGGGCATTTGCTTTAATACCAATTATGATATGTAAAACCAAGGATCCTTCAAGTCAAGCACAAACACACAAGACACTTGTATAACATGGTTTATCCTCAAGTGCTACGTCCACGGCTAAAACACGCGAGAGAGTTTCCGAACAACTGAATACAACACATCATAGAGTAGAAGCCTTGGAGTTATATATACATCTAATGATTGTGACACATGTAGCTATAAATAGCTCGAGATTACTCCATAACTGGAGTTAACCTCAACAATAATCACTATAAATTTTGGATTTTTAGAGAAATTTAAGCTTTTTAACTTTATTAATTTTGATGAATATTGTGTAGAAGTTTATTTTTTTAGATAGATAGATATTTACGTATACTCACACATACTAACAGATGTTATATGCATTCCACACGGAATTTCAATCTGCTGAACACTCCAGATCTGGATGCAGATATGATGAAAAGTTGAATCTTAATTAAAGTGTAGTCTTCACTTTCTTTTGTATAATTTTCATATCGTACAGGTTTAATTTAAGTTGGTCTTGCACAAAGAAGCAATCAAGCAAGCTTTATTGAACAGTTAATTTAAAAAGAACTTTGAAAAGTCAATATATCATAAAATGTAAGTAAATATTTCAATCAGATTGCCATCAAAGTCTATAAGTAATATATCCAGAAAATCCAGCACGGCATTTCTAATATTCTAAATGATTCAACGAATGAATCATCTTGCCAAAGAATTTTCAATACATGCATGTGATAAACATAATTCTAAATGATTTTTCTATATTTTCTCTGAAACAAGATAAGTTCATTGCCACAAGTAATTGATACAACACAAATAAAGAATGAACCGCAAATGATTATATGATAATTTGAAAAAAATCTGTAATTTTGTCCTAAAGAAATAAAAATCTAGATTGATTTTTTTAATCTTGAAACCCTCATTAATTTATCAATACATCCAAAATAACATATTTAAATTTATCTATGGATACTAGTTATTTTTCATAAAGAATAGGAATGTTTTCATGTACAATTCTATTCAAGTAGGTAATAAACCGGATTTCTTGGAAATCATAGATAAAATTTTGTTGTTGTTGATCTTTTTATAAACTTGTAGTCTTTATCTGCCGATCACTTGATCTAAATTGACATTTTTACCTATCTCCTGATATCCCGATCCATAAGAACAGAACCAAAACAGAAAATATGTTCTTATATTAGAAACTGGACCAAATGGATTTAAAAAAGACTGGAGCCCATCAAAACCTTTAACAACGATGAACCGAACGAAAACTAGCGGCTACTCATCCATCGCATTTTAGGCACTTAATTCAAAAATGCGCATTTCGACTGCCATCATGTCGCGGATGGCCAGCGTCATAGTCCTATTCGTTCTCCGATCTCACGGCCTCAGGCTCGGAACAGAGCCTGAGACGTAGGAGTCGCACAAGGATACATGATCGTATTCCCGTCCACTGCCAGGCGTCGCCACGGCAGTGCATTGGAATCTGTCCACGACGCGACGACTGGACGACGTCTTTCTGTCGACGTGATATAGAAGCAATGCTGAAATGCTTTTGCCGGTTTAGGAGAGACGTCAATGCAAGTGTGAGGTGTGCAAAAGGATTGCCTTGGAGGCACCAAATTATGCAGAAGAGAAACGAAGATGGAGGGATAACTTTGTTGAGTTCCATCCTTTCCGTGTGATTGAATTCGATCGGAATTGTGTGCAATGTGCACTAGGATGAGTTGGACAAGTAGTGTCCTCTCTCATGGTGCTCCATAAATTGTAAACATATTAAGATTTCATAAGAAGGATAAGCATCGATACATGAAACTTTCATATTATCTAACTTGGCCAGTTGTAACTAAAAGAGCATGAAATTCAATGTTTTTGTCAGTAAAACCATGTTTATTCAGACCAAATTACTCAATTATCAAAAAGCTTACGAAAACTCTTTCAAGCATTTAATTTTTTCTATGATTAAATCTATTTGTGTGTTTTCAGGGATATAATTTCAAGATTTTGAGTCATGTAGTATCTTGCAACACTTTCTATTTGCATGTTATTATATAGGTAATTTCATTGGAAATTTTTTTTACTCTTATTAATGCTTACAAATGTCAAACACATACATATTTGGCTTCAGATTATTTTCAAAATATTACAAAAATCTACTTATATTCTTTCTGAATAAATGAAATTAAAGCTAAAGTGAAGGAATTTTGAGTTTATGTTAAAATATTTCAAATTATATTGCAAGATCTAATCTGTGTCATAACAATCCGAAAAATCTCAAATCGTTATAGCAATCTTATGCTTCGATTGTTTAAACTGTACTTTTGAAGTATTTTAACTTTAATTTGGTCATATGAAAATTTACAACAAAAATTTTGATTATCGAAAATAAAATCATAGAAAGTTAAATATTTGTCTCATGGATTCTAACTTTCATTAATTTTCATTCAAAATTAATATCATTTCGTTCTTTGGAGATTCTATTAACAAAAATTGGTTAAAATATATAAATTAAAAGGTGGATTTATTCTATCCAAATGATTTCCACATAATGAAATACAGATTACTCTTAATATAATGCAAATAATTTCTTTTGATCCGTAGATCAAACAATAAGTATGTGAATAAAAAATGCAAATAAAGATTAACAAAATATCATCATGAAATTACTAAATTTATGCAAGACATGAAATTTACAAAAAAAAGGCAATAATTTTGGAATAAGATTTGAGGATTGCACAAAAAATGTATTTTATTATACATATACTTTTAAAATCCTCCAAATACTCAACTTAATGAACTCAAAATCAATCTATCTATCAATCAATCAATCTTCATAATTATATACCTGCAAAATTTGTTACTTATTTACGAAATTTTTCCATAAATTTTTTACTGAATCTTATCAATGTATCAAAATAATTGTAATGAATTAAATAAATGAAAACTAGAAATTTTTACTACTAATTCTGTCAGTTTCTAATTTTCATTTATTTAACTAATTACAATAACTGATTAATAACGCGTTAATTGATTAACATGTACATCAATCAACACGTTCAAATTTAAAAAAAATTAAAATCGAAGCACAAGACACTCATCAGGATGAATAAATTGTTGTTTTCCATGTAAATTTCCAGGAGTTGTAAGTATCAGAAATATATTTTTTGATTTTCAAAAAATATATTTAATCTTGAAATAAATCGATACTTGTAATCAAAGAAGTTTTGAGACAACATGTATTATACACCACTGTAAACCAAGTGGTTTCGTCTAATGTAAAGGCTGCCTGTAACCGGACACATCCATCTAGTCATATGTGTATAATTGTTGTATAGTGGTACATAGAGTCACTTGTTTGCAGTTCTCAGAATTGTGAGCGTTCCCTGACCTTCAGTGACTAGTTTAGTATATGCTAAAACTGGCTTCCCGGATATACTGGTTCCAGGTTCTCGACCTAAAGAATATTGTGGATCATACTCGGCTCCCGATGGTTGACTCTGTCCAGATTGCGGCGGTGTCTTTTTCAACGTCTGGTTGATTTTCTGCAGACTGTAGCCTTCTGGCTTCAGTATTGAAAACGGCTGACAGTAGATAGTCGATGCTGAGGTGCTCTTATAAGATGATGTGATGTGCTGTCTGCTCTTCTCAGCTTGTTGTGCCTCTATTCACAAGCAGATTTGAAAGAACAATCTCGTTACTACATTTGTCCAGCTGTAGGTCTACAATTTTTCTATGTTAAATAATCCATCCAGCTCTGGAAATATTCTAATGCGGAATTTTCATATTCCTGTAAATCTGAATGTAAGGTGGATTGATTTTTGTACGATCCTGATTGACGAAAGAGTCACTTACCGGCGGTGGAAGTTCCCTTAAGACAAGGAACCGGGGTCTTTGGACTCACAGTAACAAGAGACTTTTCATAGTTTACTTCTGTGATCTGATGTTGTAAACTCACCGTGGATACATGTGAAGTGGGTCTGGAGGATTCCACAACAACCATCTCCAGGTAAATACAAGTACAAGTTTTCTTTTGAAAGTGATGATAAATATCCCAACATATATAAATTAATGAATATATTTACGTAAGAAATATATATATATATATATATATGAATGATTGGACGGAATCTTACAAGTCATACGATGCCATATCTGAGCCGACCATCTTTCCATATGGTGGGCCCTCCGGCAGAGTATCTCCGATCCAATTATAAAATTCCACATCTGCAAAATCATCACAGCGAAGGACGCTATTAGTCCATCCTCTCTCACAGTATGATTCACGCAGGATACGGCAGGCAGGGGCAATGTACGACAGGGTCTCTCAAAATAGCATCAACTCCATGTAATACAAGCTGAAAGTAGGGCTTTTTTCTCGAAAGCAGTTTTCACCTGATGTGGCCAACAGCGGCCAGACGGCTGGATCGGGCATATACTGAGATGAATTGGGATCAGGACCCTGTCATGAGAGACAAATAAGAGCTAGCTTTAATACATTTGTAGCCATTATTTTGTAAAATTCGATGAGGGTAATCCCATCTTTTCGTCTGTCCACTTTTTGCCCTTTAGCTTTTATACATCTGGTTTTCCGTTTAGAGTCGAAGTGAAGCTTGAATTCACGCAAAAGTAGCTGTGCGGAGCCCGTGTGCCTTCTTGTCGAACAGAAAGTTGATACTGATCTGAAGCTGTTTTCCGAAGTGCATACCGTGGAGGATCCCGAGTCCCATGACTGATACGTGGTTTCAGTGCCGAGCGAGTTTACAGAACCCTGCTCACTGAACAGCGCACGTCTTTTTTTCAGCCGCCACGAAGTGTCATCAGGAGCCTGAGAAGTCTGAATAGATGTCTTAAGGTCCAAGTATGGAGTTTCTGCGACTTATATCCCACAGTGTGCGAATTATTGGCACTGTTTAGTCAGAATGAAAGAGAGACAAATGCGAACGAAGTAAAAGGCTGAGGTCGAGGTTAAAAACAATACAAACTAGTACCTTCAGAGTCAATCAGGTATTGTGATAGATCGTTGTCGGTGATGTCATCAAATCCTGGTATCAAATACTCCCAATCTTTACCTGTCCCCGTCTTTCAGATCAGAACATTTTACGTATTCCAGCGATTCAAGCAGAGACATACAACTCTTACGCTGACCTGATATGTGACAATCTCACTGCTTCAAGTACGAGAATTTACCGCTAGGCGTCTTCGCGTCTTCGTCTTCATTACAGATCAGTGCATCCCACGGAAAGTCCCAAACGTCGCGAGTGTCTGTATGCGCATCAAGCATTCTCCCATCCATTGCCTCGATATTGGCGTTCCCCTTACGTACGTTCCCCAGAATTAGAATCTGCTACCAGCAGAGCTAAGTAATGAGCTTCATTCTTCTGAAAAAACAAGTAGCTGAGATTCTGATCTCCTTCCTGTCCCAAAGCTTCGGCTTGGGCACGTCTGGCAATCGATCTGCAATCAAAGCTGCTACCAGGATTGAGTCAGTCCCTTCAGAACTGCTTCGACAGTATCTACAAAGGAAGCTAATCTTAAAAGTATGACTTTTTGCAATCTGCATTCAAAGGAAGAATAAGAACGTGAATGCAAAATCCTTACAAAGCATCGACATTTGTCATTTTCCATGCAGTTTACATATATGTAGCTTCCCTTGAGAGTGCTAAAGGAAATGATATTTCGACACAAATTAAGCGAACTCTGATTGGATGGAAAGGTAGATCTCCGACGCTGCAGTATTTGATACGATTTGTCTTCAAAAAGTCTGAGAACTCAGTCGGATTTTTATGGTAAGAAATTGGCGCTGGGGACGGTTGAACTGTAAGATGTAGCAGCCATTCGAGTTTCGATGGTGAAAACTTAATATAAGCACCCGACTTCAGCCAAGAAATTTGTAGACATATTATCAGAGGAGAATAATAGAATGTTGAATGCTGAATTAACCAAACTGCATTTCTCATGTTCACAATTCAGACCATCATAGTGTACATTGCAAAACAAAGATATAGCCTACAAGAAGGATTTTGAATCGTGGAGAGGCGAATTCAAAGTTTTGTGCAGTAGGATACTGTATTCTCCCACAAATTTGTATATTTCTATCTCGATAACTCCCAACCAGACCTTACCAAACAATTCAGCAACGTGAAAATCATACAATCACCTACATTTTTCTATCCCTGAGCTCCACTGGCAAAGCTCATCATCTTCTTTGCACTACATGTAAGAACGATATTTAGGATACCATAACCAAATAAGCCAAGTATTCAATAAAGCCTCACATGTTGTAGAAAAAACAGCAGCAATTTCCCAAATTACAGTGTACAATATAGTTCATAATGTGAATCTGAATGGTATTGATATAACAGCGTAATAGCTGTCGCTTGTGAGGATAGAATGAAGAGAACCCTGAGAAACTTATTCGTTTGACCATTATCTGAGTTGATCTCTATAGGCATGCCGAACTGGACCTCAATCTGCTAGTCCTAACGTTGACGAGGCCTGTTTTGAATGCAGTAATTAACTCTGGCCAAAAAAATTTGCTGAATTCGATAGGAATTTGGTTGCCATATCGATGACTCATTGTCGAACGCAATAGCTCAAATGGTCCGGAGTTCATGAAAACAATTTGAAAGAACACGCAAATTGAGATCTCTCTCTTTGCTTGTATACTTTCAAAATCTATACTCTTAAATCATCTAAAATGCCTAAACCCTTCATCAATTCATCATTATCTAAAACAATTCCAGCGTAGACAACCTTCACTTAAATCTTCAACAATCGCTTATCGAAATCTTTAAAATAACTCTATCGAAGATGACTAGGGACCAAACACGCATTGCTATTAGGCACCAGACTAGCTGAGCTCGGAAATCAGATACAACACAAATGCGGAACGTGAGAAGTTTAATCAGGTGAACTGAGAAAATGTGTACCTGCTGAATCTATCGTGGCTGAAATCTCAATCCGAGAGTTCCTCTCGGAGATTCACTGAGTTTCGCAGTCTTGTTGTCGTCAGGTCACTCAGCTTCAGCAGAGAAAAGATGCATAAAAAGATTCACGGGGATCGACGAGGACGCAAGAATCCGAGTTCGTTGTTAAACCCTCGCACTAGACACGAAGACGGAACATCAGTGGAAGAAGATCTCGGATCACTGAATCTGCGCCGTCCATCCATAGAAGATAGACGGCGCAGATTCTAATCTGTTCGATTATGCAAACCAAATCGAAGGTCCCGGATCCATCGGTTCCCACGTATCGATGTTGTTCACGACGTGAGATGCAATGCGTCACTTCGTAACTATTAAGAATCGGAGAAGCACTGTGATACGGAGTAGCCAGGGTGTTAATCGTGTCTCGCCGGGGTTTGGAAGCAGTTCCTGATTCCGTCACGTGATCGTCAATCTAATGTTATTCATGTGCACATGATTTTGAGAAGTACGTCCCGCGATAGACAACGATTTGTCAAGGAATGTACGGCGCTTCGTGCATGGAGTTCTAGACAGATAAATGGCGATCAGATTTCATTTCAAGAGGGTGCTGCCGTATCATCACCAACTTGGAAATTTGCCTGCGAGGAACTCATCTCCTTGATAGCAGGAGGAGACTGGTTAGCCGAACTCCTAAATTGGCAGTAGCGATTATCATTACACATTTGTAGTGATAGCTTTGTTCAACGGCACTGAACCTGAACGTCACGACACGTAGTCGTCGCGAGTTATAATTCCCTACTCTGGGCAGAAAATATTCTATCCGAGTAGGTTCTGGCTACATTTGTATCATGCCTTTTAGACTTGCACGAACACTTCGTACGATATTAAATCGGATAAATCTACGTCTTGACTCACGACCTGTTCTAACTCCAGAAGTCCAGAGTTTACACGACCTTGCGTTATCTGGAAGTTCAAGCTACGGTCACATTCAATTCCCGGTTACCATGTCGTGGTCCACGTAAATGATATCACTCTTCGCATGCTGATATAGTACATCAAAGTATGTGAACTAGGTTCCTTTGATTCTACATTATGCTCTATGATCATACTGTACCGTTCCTTTTCTACTGCTGATTATCTCGTATATTTTGTAGTTCAAATTTCTAAAACTGCATTTTATGTATACTCCTATGCATATCGATTTTTGCACATTCTTAATCTGGTTTTTAATTTTAATAATATTGAAGTAAAACATATACAACCTCACTAAAAAAAAGAAAAATAATCAAGAAGCAACAATGCCCCATTGCATGCAAACGAGGATATTTGATAAATATCAATGAGTAGATAAGTAAAGATATCCAAATTACTATCATGCAAAACTTTCACTAACTTGTGGCTTGTAGAAGATTATGTACCAGAAAGTGGCGGACCAAAATCTGCTCTACCGGTCATAATCCAATGTCGGCGCCGGACCTAGAATCGCGCTCCGTAACTGTGTTATATGGTGATAAGAGCATCAACTAAAACAGGCACTGGACTGTAGGTACAGGTACTAGCCGCCGGTCAGGTCGAAGTGTGACACCCAGCACAAATCCCGCTTGCATCTCATCATCAGAAAATGACTGGGCCCACCGGTAAGAGCAGTCCGGATTTCTTTGGCTATATATTACGTGACGAATCGGATATCTTGTGCATGTCCATGAGGAGAGAAAGCACTTCAGCTTCTGATGCGCGCACTTGCCAGTTTCTTGGCCCAAATGCAGCACTCAGATTCGGAAGCATTTACGCGTCACAAACACAAGCAGCTTTTGTGGGTCCCATGAAATCTTTTCTTGGGAGCTTTTGATATGTCTCTCTCTTTTACTAGTCACTCGTGCTTCAGTGATTTATTTGTTTTGGCAGGAGGGCAGGGGCGGAGCCAGGATTTTTCAGGTGGGGGAGGGTGGGGGGGGGCTACCCGCCAATTTCTAATTAAAATTTTTTCTCGACCTCGTTTTCACATTCTGTAACTCACAATCTGTGTAGACCCTTCCTGGGCTTGGGTGGGGGGGGGGCATGCCCCCCCCTGTGGCTCCGCCCCTGCAGGAGGGTGCCTTCAGAATTTATATCATTTAGCATTTGGCCGCCAAATAAAATTCAGTCCAGAACCATTAGAAATTTGTCAAAATGTTGAATAAAAATTAAGTTGGAGTTTTCATCATCACTCGTATAATTAGTATCAGAATTTAAACTCACATAAATTCTGAAACATTTTTTAAAACACTGTAAATGATTCAGCTCTCCTGTTTCACAAAAAAATTTCATAATGGAGCCTCTTTGGTCATCAATATGAAGTTCAGAAACTTTCCATCAACGAAGAACAATGAAGTAATGATTTACTATTTCGCCTAGATAAGCAAGTATGATATACATATGAAACAATCCAGTCCAGTGAAGTTTTGAACATGGCTGAGACGAGACTCATACAAATGTTGAACCCTTTATAATCTAATTTCGTGCTAAACATTGTCGCAGGAAAATTGGTAGATTAATACAGAGCATATATATAATTATTTTCATCTTTTTCAGATATGGTATTGGCATAGGGTTCGAGGTTTGAAATAACTCGAAATTTTTTGTTAAGAAAAATTATGCCGGTAAACACGATCTATAGTTGAAAGATTTTTTGAAAAGGATACTATTTAAGAGATAAATTGATTGAACATCTTCTTTTATATAGATTAACTTTAGGGTCATATCTTCTTATCTTTACGGCTGTTTTGATGCGTAAAAGTCTCCAACAAGTTCTTTCCTTATGCCCTTCATTATATTGGTCTAGAATATTTGGTGGATTGCAATAAGAACTTTTACAAGAAGAGAACCACTCGTTTTTTCAATAACTTATTGTGAAATATATACTCTTTTCCAGGAAGTTTATATATCACCTATGCATCAATCTATAACTTATCGTCGTAAAATGATACAGAATTCCCCTCAACATTATTCAAGGTGTATTATTTTCTTTTCACAAAATATTCCATGTTGTAAGTTGTTTTATTTGTACTGGAGCTTCTACTTTAAGGAAAAAAATACAGAAAATCATTATGTAACATGTGATAGTGCTTCATAAGAAAGCGTGTAGATCACACCTTCTTATCTCATCGTTATCAACCAACACAAAATTCAAGCACCTTATTTAATTCGTGAATGCATAATCATCTTACGTCATGCATTTAAACAATCCAAACTTACTTTTTACTATTCTAAAAAGTAAGCTAAAGAGCGTCATAATGATAAGTGGCAATTGATTAATCTAAGAATTAGCTAATTTGACTATATACTAAAAAAATCAGCTCAAAAGGTTAAGACTGAACACCAATTGGGG